AAGACCAAGATAAACTGGAAAGGGTACAGAACCAAGCTGCAAGATTCTGCACGAACAACTATGAACGTGGTGATAGTGTACAGGAAATAAAAAGAAACCAACAGTGGGGTCGCTGGAAGACAGACGAAGAATGTCCAGTCTGTACATGATGTACAAAATGACTAATAAACTGGTGGACGTACCAACCACTAAGTATCTGATACCAACCCAGAAAAGAACAAGAAACAGCCATGCCTTCATATATCAGAGTTATCAAGTACTGAGGTGTTCAAAAATTCCCCAGAATTTCCCCAGAACTATCGTAGACTGTAACTCGTTGCCACCAAGCACAGTTGGGGCATCATCACTAGAAAGCTTTAAACAACTCCTGCAATCAATAAAGATGTGCAAGGATTGAGTATAACAAGTTGTTCGGTGTGATATAGCTAGCTGCCGCCGCACCGCGTGCCTGCGAAGCTGTTGTATTACGCCGAAGGGCGGTTATACCGGACATACTGATACAGATACAGATGAATCTTCCTTTCTTTATGGAGAACATAAAAATATTTTAGGGAGCCAGTATGGGCGCCCCCGCATACAAATAGGATGGCACCCAGGCTAAGCAGCATCTTACAAAGCTAGTGATTATGAAACATACAATAGAGAGCTCAACTCGTTTTTACTCGCTTGGTGGAATTAGTCATCCTAATGCGCTTTGCAGCAATCGATAGTAGTGATTAGACAGCCCACTTCAAGCCGAGGATTTAGGTCATGAACGCGTGGCAGCGCATACGATGTCTGTCTCTGTCTTTGTGGGTTTGAAAACCCCACACAACATCCTGTCAGCAATCCGGCACCACCGCCCACACTATAGAGCAAAGGTGGACTGAGATTCCCTCTCTCCTTGAGGTGCATCTCTGGCAAGTTCTACGTGTAACAAGTCGTTCGGTGTGATATAGCTAGCTGCCGCCGCGCCGCGTGTTATGCCAGCTATACTGATAAAGATACAGATGTTGGAGTTTTGTCTAGTTAGTCAATAAGGTTTTCTATTGGCACACACAATATGAGTCTTAACATAGTGTATCTACAGCGTTCACCTCCAACATATCTTAGGCAGCAACGTTAAGTTCAACAACAGAATTTATGTATAGTTTTTCCTGTTTGGTGGAGCAGTTTGATCCAGCTTGGATTTACAGGAATGTTAAGTATTATCTAAACGGCACACTGGCCGCATTGAAATGTATTTTTTATTAAAAAAGTTCTACCTCCTACCGAATTCTATCAGTGACTTGAAAGTTCAGCAAAGCTTTTGGTCACGGCCTCCTGACCTTCGCCAGGCTATGGTTGGGAGACAGTCGTGAGCGAGGTCATCTACGGTTGGGAGTTGGTCGAAGGGGTAGCTTAAAAGTTTTGATGAATCTTCTGCGCCAGTCGACCATACAGTTTGAAAAGTCAAAGTAGTATCCTGCTTAGGCCATGTTGATTTGATTATATGGATGACATCCGCGCCCGCATAAATTTTCAGCCGTTTAAAAAAAAAGTCTTCAACCATACTGTAAATCATACAAAAAGTTGCAAAATGAGCAAATGTATGCCATAAGTTGCAGAGAATTATTGGAAAACGATACTAGTACCAATGTCGTAGAATGCCAAAAAGAACCAAAAAGACGAAACTGTAAAAGATGGATTTGCAGAGTAGATAATTCGGCAAACCATACTCTGTGTCATTTGTTTAACCTTCAAAACCACGTAGATTTCATAATGTAAGAAACTTTTTGTTGGGGCGGGGGGGAGTTGTTTTAATCGCACGCTCGCATCAGCTTTGGGGTTCCCAGAGGATGTCATTCATATAATCAAATCAACATGGCCTTAGGTGTGATCAGAAGAGAGTATTACTGGTAAAATAGGATGGATTTCAGGCCAGTTTTAAACCGGTACAGACGTTGGTTGCGTGCAAAGCCATGCCAAGGTCCTGTGCGTTTGTGATAGAGGCTTAGGAGACTGCATATAGGGTTTTGCCTTGCGTTTTCTGACTTCAAAGCGTGGGCGTTGAAATTGATTCTTTTGAACTTTGAGTAAGCGATAATCCTACTTAGTGAGAACGTCTCCCGATAATACCATGCTTAATTGAACAGACACAAAGAGGACTCAGATAAGATAATAAAAAGCATCACATCTTCCCCGGCGCTCATCGTAGCCTATCAATGGGGATGAAACAGATACAGTAAAGTTTCATTAGGCCGCAGCATGTAAGTTTAATGGATGACATCCTCCGCAGTCTCCAAAACTAATGCAATGGGGCGAAAGAACAATAAGGCAGGCCCCCAAAGCAAGATTCCTACGTTTTCAAATTTTGACTTCATAAACCTTGTTAAACAAGAAATGATACATATATAGTGCCAAGTTTACTGACAATTATTACAATATCCATGTGTCACTCTGAAAAGTTTTCAATCATTGCACAAATGGTTTTGATTCAGTGGGAACATCACGTATAAAAGGAATGAAATACATCACTGCATCAAAGTAAAAGACAAAACAATAAATCGAAGTCTTGCCTTGTCTCCTCTCTTCATATTCATCTGCCATCCACGTTCCAGCATGGCAACAGACATCTTTGCATTTTGTGGCATGTTGACCACTGTCAGAGGGCAACAAAATTTCTTGTTCTTCCCTCAACATCATGCGAAAGTTTATTCGCGCGCTGATGTCATCCATAAAATTACTTGCGATGGCCTTACTCGAAAACCCAAAGGACGTTGTCTACTCTGTCTTGGGATTGGATTTCTTGACCACGGCGCGGTATACTTAGTAGGCTAGCTGTTTCGGCGTGAATTGAAGAGCACCAATGTCATGTAGTTATGGCGAAGGTCTCTTGTTACCCACGTATAAGGTAATTTAGAATCTCCCTTTATCATACTTATGTTACCAAGTGAATACCAGTGGGACGTATGGCATTCTTTGCACCAGAGAGCAGAATATTTTCGAAGCTTACGAAGTAGAATCTTCCCGGTAAAAGCCCCAGGTCCAATTAAACCGGCGTCGGGTGTTCCTCAAGGAATAGTACTCGCACCATTACATCTACTTGTATACCCAACCCAATTAACTAGCCTTGAACAAATGTCGTGTTCTTTTTATCGTTAGGTTTCTTGTTAGGACCAACTGAAGAATAATGATGCTATCTACGCTCGTAACGTATAGTCACTTTATCGTTGGACCTACTTTTTGTATAGTATTACCTTAAACCAATTAGGCTAACGTCCAGCCTATCTTGTGTTTTTACGATGGCTGAAAGTTAGTTCCAAATATAGAATACGTACCAATGTCATGAACTAATGGTGTAGGTCCCCCCTATTATCGGAGTACAAGGTAATTTATATTCCCTCTGTTTTCAAACGTGTGTTAGTAAGTAGACACCAGAGTGCCTCAGTCCATCCCTTGCATCACAAAGCAGAATGTTTGCGAAGCTTACAAAGTAGAACTTGCCGGACGTTACAAAATCAGGGTCTAGGGAAAGCCTAGGACAAATTGGACTGGCGTCTGGTGTTCCTAAATGAATAGTACGTGCATAGCTAGACTTACTTGCACACCCAATCCAATCCAATCAAGCTGGCTTTAAAAAGATGGTCTTTATTGTTCCCTTCCATTGCTGCTTGTTAGGCCTAGCGTTACATGTATATACGAACTACAATGCAAGCAAGAATTCGAAGATCTCATTCCTCCGTGGCGTATTTCAATGTGTTGTAGATTTCTATTTTCTTTGTTTGTTACTGATTATGTATCAAGAAGTTAATTGATATGCCTCAATGCTTAACAATGTTTAGTTCTGTAGGGAACGTTGAAAAATGCCTCAGTGTTGACATGTTGTCCCTACATAATTAAGATATTATTAATTAGAAATGTAACATTCACGTTGAAATGTAAAATTGCAACGTGGTGTAACCCAACACTAGTTACCATGGTGACAGAAGTCTGGTTCAGACCATTGGCCTTTTTGGTTCGGAGATGAAGACGTGGAAACAGAGCAAAATCAATGTTTTCATTTGGTAAACATTCCAAAATAGTAGTAGTATCCAGTTTCTCTTGTATTTTGTTTTCATGCATTACAAACTCTCGATCAAACATATCAACTGACAACTGACCTTGATAGAAACATTGGTGTCAAAAAATGTCGAAAAAATGTCTTCCAGCTGTCAAAAAATGTGTTCCAGGTGTCAAGAAATGTATTCCAGGAGTGAAAAAAAGTCGACAAAGTGTCTTCCAGATGTACAAAAATGTGTTCCAGGTGTCAAAAAATGTCGAAAAAATGTCTTCCAGGTGTCAAAAAATGTGTTCCAGGAGTGACAAAAATGTCGAAAAAATGTCTTCCAGGTGTCAAAAAAATGTCTTCCAGGTGTCAAAAAAATGTGTTCCAGGTGTCAAAAAAATGTCCAAAAAATGTCTTCCAGGTGTCAAAAAAATGTCGAAAAAATGTCTTCCAGGTGTCAAAAAAATGTGTTCCAGGATTGAAAAAAAATATCGAAAAAATGTCTTCCAGGTGTCAAAAATGTGTTCCAGGAGTGAAGAAAATGTCGAAAAAAGTCTTCCAGGTGTCAAAAAAATGTGTTCCATGATTGAAAAAATGTCGAAAAAATGTCTTCCAGGTGTCAAAAAATGTGTTCCAGGAGTGAAAAAAATGTCGAAAAAATGTCTTCCAGGTGTCAAAAAAATGTCGAAAAAATTAGTTCCAGGTGTCAGAAAAATGTGTTCCAGGAGTGAAAAAAATGTCGAAAAAATGTCTTTCATGTGTCAAAAAAATGTGTTCCAGGATTGAAAAAAATGTCGAAAAAATGTCTTCCAGGTGTTAAAAAAATGTGTTCTAGGTCAAGAAGAGGAAGTAGAGGAAATTTGCATACCTGCGCAGCAGCCGACTGCTGATGATGACAGGCTCTTACTTCAACCGTACAGTAAGCAACAGTAATAATAGATAAGCTTGACTATCTCTAATATCCAGTTTCACTTGTGTTTGTTTGCGTGTGCAGGAAGTTACTGTAACGGTACGTGGGACAACATCTACTGCTGGCCCCCCACTCCTGCTGGATATGACATCTACATGCCCTGTCCGGAACATCTCTTCTTCGACGGAACAAGTAAGTTTATATGGAACAAGTTTAAACTGCAATTTTTAACAAAAAATGGACTTGCCCAACTTTTCTACTGAACAACTCCAGTCTTTGTCAAGGAATAAGCAATCACACAGATAGCACATGTGACTCCGTGTGTTATCTGTGTGACCATATGTCTAATTCCTCCCTTATTATTATTTTTTTGAACATGAACGAACAACAGACATACTCATTTCACCTGGGTTAAGTGAGGAATCTCATGTAAAGTGCGTTTTCCAAGGGCACAATATCGGTGCAAGGCAGGATTCGATAGAAAAATCGCTGGTATGTATTTATTTGTTTATTTATTGTTTGCACGTATATAAAAATTACATAATCAAATAATAACAATCGGAGAATATGCGGGGTAGGCCAGAAACCTGGGTGGTTTTTGAAAGGGCGTACCCCAAACAAAGGTAACTATGATACATGACAAAACATATTTGAAATAAACATCAAAATTAAACAATAAAATAAATGATTAATTAAACAAAATCAAGACACAGAAATAATAACTGAAGTGTGTTAACTAGTTTTTACATCTACGAAAAGAAATGTAAACAAAAGTCTTACACATGTAATTCAGGTCGCTGTTACAGAATAAACTGATTAGATAATCAACATAAAAATTAACGATTAAAACAAAAGATCGGAAAAACAAACAAATTAGATGTAGAGAGAACTAGTAGCGAAGACATGGCATTATGTCTGAACAAACGGCTTCAAACCCTTGATGGCTCCTTCCGCGGGCAACAACCTTACAGTCTTTACACTCGAGTAGGGGACATTGAATAACAAGCTCAATCTGGTGGATACAGAGATACGTAATTGAACCCTGCCGGGTAATGGACTTTTAAGTAGCAGGGCAATCCGAGCGATTCTATAATACCTTCATTTTCACGCTACTTGGGCTTCAACTATCCACCAACGTTTCCGCAAAGGGAATTCACAACTAGATTCCAAGAATTTCAAACTTTGAGATAACAAAGCTGTCGCCTTAAAGAATTACTTAACGTCTGATGAGTGAGAAAATGTGTACCCGAGGGAGATCTTTATAGCTGTGGTATTTCATTTGGTTTGACGTCGGATGTTTTTTGAGTTTGATAGAGTTGCAGTGTGAGTAAAGGAACTACGGTTTATGATGTCAAGAAGGTCAACGAAAAAGCAATAGCAGGCTTAAACTAAATGGAAGTCACTTTACGAGGTCGAAGAAGAAATGACAGATGCGGAATACACAAAGTTTGATGGGAATAAGTCAGCTAAAAGGAAAGTTTGTACACACTTCTAAGAAAAATTGTACATCTTTCTCAGAAATACCTGTAAGAGCCTTGGGCGAAGTATATTTCACTTGGAACTTTCCCATAGTAAGTGCAAGTTACATACATTGTAACTACAATATATATACTCTAGAGGTCAGGGGTTCTAACCCCGACCGGCTTATACTGGCAAAATGTCACATAACTGCTTTTTCTACTTAGCACTTAACACTTACGAGACCTAGTGTTGTGGTTTAACACACTAGTGCTTGCACAACGGTGGAGAAAAATATATAAAAGTACTATAAATACATAAAGGTACGTACAGCTATGTAATGGTCGTGGATATGGATATTTTAAGACTGGCTACATTAGTGCTACAGGTTTGATCAATAATGCGTTTTATCTGCAATTATAGTTGGATGATGGGGGTCGTGTGGCGTAATGGTAGAGTGTTCGACTTGGAACCAAGAGGTCCCGGGTTCGAACCCTCCCACCCATGCGACCGATCCTGTGTCCTTGGGAAAGGCACTTTACACGAATTTCCTCACTTCACTCAGGTAAAAATGAGTACTGTATTTTCCTCTATGAGTGTTTCCCCACCACGTCTTATGATTACATGTTGAAATAAAAATAATAGTGCTGCGGTCTACTTCCATTTTGCGCACATCTGTACCAGTATACATATGTTATTACTGTGTTGTTGTGCAGAGGTTCTTGCCTATCGTGTGTGTAACGACAGAGGGGAGTGGGAGTTAAAAAACTGGACCAACTACACGGCCTGTATCAACTACCCCATTCCACCCGTACGGGTAAGTGATGGTCTGTTCTAGAACCTTCCCTATTTAGGAGCGAGTTTTACCAAAAGGCTCGTCTTCTAAACGATTCCGTTTCCTGAAATATCCAGTCGTAAGTTTTTCTCTGTCCTGTAGGCGTACAGGTCATTTCCGCTGGGCCTAGGGTTCAAGTTGAGTCGACAGATAAGGATCTTTACGTACAATTATTCATGTCCTTTCTGTAGGGCCTAGAAACGGAACCCTTTCTTGGCTAGCGCAGCATATTTGTTCACTAACATGTAAACATGGACCTTATGCGGTTGTAAAGTTGTTTGTTTCTATCATATATTATCTATGCTATGTGAATGCATAGGAAACGTCACTGAACTTTTCATTTCGAATATTAGAACTAAACGTGCAAGTTTAACCCTTTTCTGTTACTAAAGAATGTTTTTTCCACTCCAGGACGTTCCGTTGTTGTTTGCGGTGAGAGATATCTACTTTGTCGGCTCCAGCATCTCGCTGGTTCTGCTGGCGGCAACGTTCTTCATCTTCTGCTACTTTAGGTAAAACTCCGCTTCTTAGCCTTTTATGGTATTTGATAGCTGAAAATAGTATGTTGTAAACGCTATGCCGGTCGAAGGCCTTAACACAGTTAGTACTTTTAAAATCGTACCTTTATTATATATTTGTGTGTGTAATGTAATTGTACATGTTATTTTTTTCTTTAGATATGGGACGTTGGTAAGAATAAGTAAATACATAAAAAACAAAAGATACAACACTGGAAGTTGTCGATGACATACCGTTTAAAGATAATGTTAAGGATTTAATTGAACAGGTATCTTTCTTTTTGAGTAATTTTGCATTGTGGACAACACCTTCACTATCTTTCTGTTCACAAGTGGAATGATTTTCATAATACTAGTATACTTTTAACTCTACTATAACTGGGAGGCGAGGAGATATTTTGTTGTGACCTGTACTTATCCCAATATGGCAAAATGTTCAATAAATGTCGCAATTCATTCATTTCAACTGATTGTTGTTTTGCAGACGACTTCAGTGTGACCGCATCAAAATACACAAACACCTGGTCCTGTCGCTGATCCTCCGCTTCATCGTTCTTATCGTTCTGCTGCAACCATATCTGGGCATCAACGGCTACGACAACTCCTACCTGAACTCGGTTCGTTTCAAACCTTATGAAGCAAGTTTAAACTGCAATTTTCAACACAACAAATTGGACTTACCCAAATTTTCGACTGTACAACTCCAGTCTTTGTCAAGAAATGAGCAATCCACCGCTTCCGTGACGTCACGTAGATAATACACGTGACTCCGTGAGCAGTGAATCATAGGTTGCAAAAAGTCTGTGGCGCCCCCCGTCTCTGTTGAGGGATGGTTGTAATGCCATGATGTAGATGGCCTCTTTAATACCTCGTGCAAAGAAGTCCGTTTCTGTGTCCAAGATTCTCCCTTTGTCCAATGAGACTGAATGACCAGACGATTCCATGTGTATATGTTGAGAGACCTCCGAATTAGTCGAGCTAGGTCGTTTGTGTTCTTAGAACCTAGCCTTGAGAGATATTTCAGTCTCTCCAATATAGGTTTCCTTACATGGGAAATTGGAATTCTGTCCTTGAAACTGTATATGGTAAACTTTCTGCAACGTATGATCCACTGCTCACGAAGTCACGTGTGTTATCTGCGTGACGCCATGGAAGCGGTGGATTCCTTATTCCTTGACAAAGATTTAGGAGTTGTACAGTCAAAAATTTTGGTGAGTCCAATTTGTTGTGTTGGAAATTGCAGTTTAAACTTGCTTCATAATGATTTCTACCAACACGGCTGAACTTTCAAGGTAGTTTAAAACCTGTCACGTCCAATTGACGCAATACTTTACTGCACTTTGAAGCTCTAATACTGTATGTAGACCCTGGGGGATCTTGTAGACTCATAGTTAATCATCTGGGAAAACCTTTATCGTTAAGCAAAGCTAGATTAAAGGCAGTTGCATGGTCTTTAATCTGATATGTAAGTGCCACAGCAGATGCTTATGTAATATCGTCATTTCCACTGCACATAAAGGATCCTTATCATACTCTCCCCACGTTTTCCTGGAAATCCACGTCGTAAATATGAGCCGTTTTACTGATACCACCCTGCTTACAGTGGCCTTGGCGACTTCCTATAAATCTTTCTCCTAATCTTCCAGACTTTCTTGGTAATCTCGTTTAAGATCTCAAAGACCTTCTGACTCATCTTGTATAGTAAATATTAATATCATTTATCACACCTTCACCTTTGCCCTAATCTCAAAGGCTTGACTTTAGTATCCAAGAAACGTGTCTAAAAGTATGCTGGTTACTTTAAGGACGCATATCGCCTCTAGCTCTGAAGCTTCAATTTCCGTTCAACTATATATAGCGTTGGTATATCTTGGTTCCAAGCCGCTATATCTTTTTTTAGTTTACTTTGATTCTTATCATTTTTAATAAAGCTATGTACAACTGAAGGCTAGCCACTCAGGTAATGAGAAAGAAAGCTAGCTGGATTTTAAAAACAGTTTTCATAATCTATGCAGTTGCTTGAGTAACGGCTTTCCTGTGCACATTTCAATTGCACTTATACGCGTTTTTAATCAGCCCTCTTTTCTATTTTCATTCTATTTTGAAGCACATTCAGGATAATGGTGTTCACTCTTAATTGCTCATTAGGGGTAATTGACCTAGTTTCCGAAGCTAATTAGCAGTTCTCCCAACGTACTGACTTCAATGAAATTCCAATTTACTTACTACTCGAACTTGTTCTTATTTTTCTCATTATCACCAGCTTTTGATTCATTCGTGTGTATAATGTAGCACATCTTTTTCTACCTTGACATAGCGATTAGACTGTCGATCGTCCTTCAGTCTTGTGAGAGAGGTTTAGTTGTTCAAGCTCTGTCTAGAACCAAACTAACTTATTGGGTAGGAAAAGTACTGAACACTCATAAAAGAGTGATTACACTCTTCCAAATTATGGCTCCACACGTTCTTCTGAACCTGTAACATTACATAACCTGTTATTATGTTTACCGACGAAAACGGTTAACATATTGATTTTGCTCAGTTTCTACTTCTTCTTCTTCCGTTCCACACACATAAAAAAACGCCTATTTTTTTTCTTAATTAGAGCTCGAGCCTGGAGGAAAATGAAACTCAGCTTGCTAGTTCGTCTAATACACTTGCGCGTGTGTCTTTATTTTGTTGCAATAAGTCATTGTGCTGGATATACAGTGCTGTAAATGAACTGAATTTTTCATAAGTTTTTCTGTGTGTTCACAGTCGTTTATCTGCCGAAGTATATGCTGGTCCTGTCCCAGTATTTCATTTAGTTTTTCTGTGTGTTCACAGCCGTTTATCTGCCGGAGAATGCTGGTCCTGTCCCGGTATTTCATTTAGTTTTTCTGTGTGTTCACAGCCGTTTATCTGCCGAAGTATGCCGGTCCTGTCCCAGTATTTCATTTAGTTTTTCTGTGTGTTCACAGCCGTTTATCTGCCGGAGTATGCTGGTCCTGTCCCAGTATTTCATTTAGTTTTTCTGTGTGTTCACAGTCGTTTATCTGCCGGAGTATGTTGGTCCTGTCCCAGTATTTCATTTAGTTTTTCTGTGTGTTCACAGCCGTATATCTGGCGGAGTATGCTGGTCCTGTCCCAGTATTTCATTTAGTTTTTCTGTGTGTTCACAACCGCTTATCTGCCGGAGTATGCTGATGCTGTCCCGGTATTTCATTTAGTTTCTTTTTTGTGTTCACATCCGTTTATCTGCCGGAGTATGCTGGTCCTGTCACAGTATTTCATTTAGTTTTCCTCTGTGTTCACAGCCGTTTATCTGCCGGAGTATGCTGGTCCTGTCCCAGTATTTCATTTAGTTTTTCTGTGTGTTCACAGCCGTTTATCTGCCGGAGTATGCTGGTCCTGTCCCAGTATTTCATTTAGTTTTTCTGTGTGTCTACAGCTCTTTAACTGCCGGAGTATGCTGGTTTTGTTTCAGTATATCATTAGTTTTTCTGTGTGTTCACAGCCGTTTATCTGCCGGAGTATGCTGGTCCTGTCCCAGTATTTCATTTAGTTTTTCTGTGTGTTCACAGCCGTTTATCTGCCGGAGTGTGCTGGTCCTGTCCCAGTCTTTCATTTAGTTTTTCTGTGTGTTCACAGCCGTTTATCTGCCGGAGTGTGCTGGTCCTGTCCCAGTATTTCATTTAGTTTTTCTTTGTATCCACAGTCGTTTATCTGCCGGAGTATGCAGGTCCTGTCCCAGTATTTCAATTGGTTTTTCTTTGTATCCACAGACGCTTATCTGCCGGAGTATGCTGGTCCTGTCCCTGTATTTCATTCAGTTTTTCTCTGTTCACAGCCGTTTATCTGCTTGAGTATGCTGGAAATGAATGAAATGAAATGCTGGTCCCGTTTCATTTAGTTTTTCTGTTTGTCTACAGCCGTTTATCTGCCGGAGTATGCTGGTCCTGTCCCAGTATTTCAGCATGACTAACGTGTTCTGGATGCTGATAGAGGGACTGTTTCTGTACATGCGCTGTGTGGTGGCTGTCTTCCACTACATCTCCAGCCTCAAGGTGTTCTACATCATCGGATGGGGTCAGTTTCAATACAAGTTACAACTATTGAATATCATGTATAATGTTCAAAACGAAGATGATACCTGGTGAAGGTGAATGCATTATGTACCTGGATTTCTAACCGTCACCAACAAATTTATTCTATAACTGAAAAGCGTTAACTTTTTGTTACGGACCACAGGGAGGATAGCTATACAGAGATGTGAAGCTAAATTGTACAACCCTGGGTGCCATCCTATTTGCATATCGAGGCTAAAAAAAAGGAGCAAATATGGCCTGGGTGCACTGGTATACATTGGCCAATTGGATGGCACCCAGGCTAAAATTATGGATTCCAATTAAGTCATAAAACAAAGTAAAATTTTTCTTGGCGTACAATTTGAATGTGAATTGCATTTCTTGGCACCATGTACAATATATAGTATATAATACGTATTTATTTATTCTTGTCTAGTTGTCCCAGTATGTTTTGTGGTTGCGTGGACTGTGGTTATGGCGCTGTACGACAAGCACCAATGCTGGCTGGACTACAGTGATCTACCGTACGCATGGATCGTCTCTGGACCTATCGTCCTGGCTCTGCTGGTATGGGATGTTTTCTTTTTATTCGGAGATGGCAATACAGACGTAGTGGTGATGCAAGTTTTTTCAAAATTTTATTAGCGCCACCACTAAGAAAATGACTACTAAATGAAACAAGAAAAAGAATCTAAACTTAGATAAAATCATGATAAACTTACAAATAACAGAAATATGATTAACTATAAGCATGCAAAGAGCAGCTACTGTAACACTGTACAAAGGTAGAAAGTCCCATTCCCTGACCCAATGGTGAAGTGTGAAAGTTTTGAAGCTCATCAGGAATTGAAGCGTTTTGTAGTAGTGATAAAATTTCGGACGATAGTCAATTTTTTTTAGTATATGGAGGTTGAAAACATTAGTGGTAGAGTGATTTGGATATTTTCAGGAAGTGGTATGAGACTCTACACTTCTGTCACATGTGGATCGATTAAAAGGTTCTCACAAGGTTTTAGCCATGTTTTTATCCCACCTGACTCTCTTTGATAGCACTCATATGCTCTCAGAATAGAACCAACCCCAGCAAGGCCAAAACTGAAGTGTTTTTCATGTCCTTGTCCTTCTACAAAGTAGTCTACGATAGGATCATGAGATATTTGAGGCCTTAGGTCGTTGAACTGCAATGATCTTTTTTTTATAATCATTTTATTATATTAGGCCATGTTGATTTGATAATAAGGATGACATCCTCTGGGAACCCCCAAACTAAAGTTGCTTTCATTATGAAATCTACGTGGTTATAAAGGTTGACCAAATGAATTAGTATCGTATGGCAACTGATTTACTCTTCAAGTTCATTTCTTTACATTTTCGTCTTTTGTGTTTGATTTTAGCATTCTATGACATTGGAATCGTTTTCAAATATTTTTCTTTGCAACTTACAGTATGTATTTCCTCATTTTTCAACTTTTTTGTACGATTTACAGTAAAACATTGGGTGCACAAAAATGTTTTTGGGTGCACCATATAAGATAAAATAAGTAGAATGTCATGAATGACATTGATGAATAAGTAGAATGTTATGTTTGATTTCTAAAGAAAAGTACTGTAAGAATGACTTTATTATTTTTTCTGACACTTAGGTGTGAAGAATATGCTGTATACTACTATACATTTAACATCTTTACATGCATACACCTACGAAAATATTTGGGTGCACTGGTGCACCCACAGAAAATATATACATTTAGACTATGCATGACATTCTTTCATTCCTTTTGTTTCTTCTTGCAGGTCAACTTGTATGTCCTTCTTCACATTTTGGCAGTCCTGGTCACCAAACTGAATGCAGATCAGAGAGTGCCCAACTACTCTGAACATCTGTAAGCCATCTACTAACTACTATATTGGTTTTTTTTACATGCATGGTGTCGTAATGATATCGTAATTAAAAATGGTATACATAGCCTCCTTCGTTCAGTTTTGACAATGGTAAGATCATAATAACAGCCCTAAATTTTCGGCCATGGCTGAACAGTCCGACAATGGTAGTCTCTACATATATATATATATATATATATATATATATATATATATATATATAAAGGATTTTGCCAATTTTGCGATTTAGATAAGATTGAGGATGAGTATCATTTCGTAGTCGATTGTACGTTATATAGTAATGAGAGAGATTTCCTATATTCTTATATAATAGATAAGTTCCCCAGCTTTGGACATTTAAATTAAGTTTATTAAGTTTATTAAAAGTCCAAAGGAGCTCGCGGGCAAAAATTGCCCGAATTACGTCCTCGTTACATAATTCATGAATCAATGTACACATCACAAAATTTTACATTACAAGTAACGTTACACGCAGAATATCTAAAAAAATGAATCAGAAAAATGCATACTTGACAAACCATTAATATCATTTGTGTTATATGCTCGTACATCTATAACTGCACCATGAAGCGAGAAGAAGTTGAACATGCAAATAGTAGATCACATTAGTATGTAAAGTATCATTGCTGTATCCTTTCCCTTGTCTATTCATGACCTGTACTTAGCCTGCTAGAGCACAAACGTACAATAAAGGTCTTTCATTCACTATTACCCCATCTATATGTATGGGATTAGTCTGGAATTAAACTGGAAGTCCAGAATTAAACTGGAGGCTGTTACTCACATGTGTCCACCTCTCCCCCCACTCAGAAAAGCCCTGAAGGCTCTGTTTGTGCTGTTACCGCTCCTCGGGCTGACCAACGTGCTGTTCTTTGTCAACCCAAAAGACGGCGGAATCGGAGATCACATCTTCCAAGTCTTCAACGCAGTGATACAGTCATCACAGGTACTATCACCATCAGTGGGTACAGGTGTAGCAACAGAGAGTAATATGTGATTTTGTTGCAATTCAAATTCCTTGATTCAGATTCAAGTAATGTCTATTTATATACAACGGTATAATATACTGTAGTACTTCTATGATAGCTACTGAATCTCATGTTTGAAGAAGAACTTTTTGCACGACAATTGCACATGGTACAATGTATGGCAAACTACATGAGAACTACAAAGAGAGTAGCAAACAATAAAATTTGTTGAACAAGACCTAATGTCGAAAAAACTAACAAATCTACATCATAATTATTCAAATAATAAGGGATAGCAGAAGTCTTTGATAAAGTGTCTTTGCAGAAGTCTTTGATCGAGTGGGCTAATCACAAGTTTCGGAATTTTTTCTAATAACAAAGCATTCCTTTATTCAGAAGGAGGTTGGAAATATTGAACATGCAAATATTGCTCATCACATGTCTTAAACTGTTAAAGTCTAAAGGACCCCTATGATTTGTTTTCAATAAGGTCATCTGCAAAAATACTGACGTTGGTCTAACCTTATTTTATGCTTTATTTCAACAGGGCATCTTTGTATCATTGATCTACTGCTTCACAAATGCAGAGGTAAGGCTTGAATTCTTGTTGACTTTTCATGTACCAGTATTTCAGTACAAAGGACAGGGTACGGGTACGTTTAACCGGTATTTCAGTACCAAGGAAAGGGTACGGGCTTACGTTTAACCGGTATTTCAGCACCAAGGAAAGGGTACAGGTTTACGTTTAACCGGTATTTCAGTACCAAGGAAAGGGTACAGGTTTACGTTTAACCGGTATTTCAGTACCAAGGAAAGTGTATGGGTTTACGATCAACCGATATAGGTATTATTTGGTATGTCTCTCTGTGTGTTTGTGTGTGTATGCCTGTGCTTTCACAATGCCGCTAGGTTAAGTTATGATAAATATGGTTGGGCTCAGTCTGTCCCATTAAAAGATCTAGTAGCGCTGCTGTTTTCACAGGTACTTTAGTTACATGACCTCCTTGACAGCCGTGTTTTCATTGCACAATAGAGGAAAGTTTTGTAGACCCCATGGTTAAAAAGAAAAGAGCACAGTCACCATCACACAAGATCTAAATACTTCATGGAAGTTGAAATTCTTCATAACCAAAAGGGCTAAACGTTATAGCCAACACTATTAAATTGTGACCCAAATTTTCGACCGTCTCCGTCAGCCTTGTTGACGGAATGGACCCCTCTACTGTAGCTTCCGTGACGTGATTTCGTAAACACGTGATTGCATCAAAGGGTCGTATACGTGTCAGATAACCTGTGTCGCCCCCCGTCTCTGTTCAGTGTTGGACGGTTGGCCTGAATGTACACCGCCTCCTTTACTCCTCTCGCGAAGAAATTCGGTTCTTTGGAAATCCAGAGTTCAGAATTTTCACTTTGTCCTGCGAGACGGAGTGTCCTGGAGATTCTATGTGTATATGTTGGGATGAAGTATACCAATACAAATGAACTTTCATGTCAAAATTTAAAAATTCTTGTTTATTGAGCGTTTCTTTGTGCCTTATCACAGGTCCAGGCTGTGATTCGTGACAAGCTGGCCGTGATCAAGATGAAGCAAAGTGTGTACAACAACGGCGGGGCCACCACCAAGAAGAACGACTACACTGTAACCAGCCAGGGAGGGACCCGCGTTTGAACATGTAAAGGGGCATCATTTAACATTTTTGCAAAAAAAAGAAAAGTTTTAAACATTTTGATTGAAAATGGTGATTGTAATTTTCTTCTACTTTTCAAAATATTCGTGCAATTATCTCACATTTCCGACATTTATAGTTTATTTCCGATATTTATAGTTGGCGCTAAAACTACCCACACGAGGTACACTCAGTTTGTGGTACCACTACAAACTACCAGAATGTAAAGTAATATGGGTGACAGTTGTGTCTGCAGCTTTTAAACACACTCGTAAGGCGTCATATTTTGTCAAATCTTGAATGGCACTTAGTTGCAATGGAGTTGGGTTTATTATAAAGAAATGACCAGAAAATTTACTTTTGTATCATCCTAATGTTATATAATGCAGCCTTAAAAAGATACATTTAGTAACACCACTAGAAGATGTATGAGTGTGACGCCACAACATATAAAGACCCTCCACATGTTTTATTAGACCATTATGGCAACCAGCCAAAAGTACAATGAGTCTAAAAAGCAATTTGAAGCAAACAAGTTGATGTATAGGGAAATCATCAGTTGTTTGCAAAATATTCTTGATATCACATAATGACTTGGCACTACTAGTTGAGATGTTGACAAACATCTTGTAAAATTTTCTTCCTGCTGTAAATGATGTTAAACGATCCGTACAGATTGGTATTTTGACAGTTGAAGGTGATTTTGTAAGGTCGTAAAAATGATACTGATCATAAAAATGATATTGATAAGTGGCATGTCTACCCATATGGCAATGTTAAGCATCCTGCACTTTGATACTAGTAGTTAGTATTCCTGTTGATGTCATAGCTATTACATGTATCTTCATGCATGCCTTTATGTTAAACGTTATTTAGTATTTAATGTTAAAATGTAGTATTTTAGTGATCTGTACTCCAAGTCTTGCATGCCCTAGACTTCACTTCATATGGTAATATGTGATTATAGTGCATCAGGACAGGAATATGCAACAAAGATTCATATCATATCATCATTAACACATATGAGTATCTATATTTTCTAACTATGATGACTTTGGAAGTGTTATCACTCATCATTTCATAATGAGGCAATTTTTCATCTGTATCCTTTATATTTGTACGTTAATTAATGGTAGTCATTATACACACCATTAACTGGCATAAAGTCTCTCATTACACAATTACTGCAATGACATGTACACAAGCTGACAATTTAAAATAAGTACATTTACTAGAGAGTTGTTTCAGCAGTGACACGTTTTTGAAGGGTAAGAATACTAATCTCCAAGTTTTCGATGACTATTAGTCGATCTTGTTCACGGAGCAAGTCTCGCGAGAGCACGAGTCTCGCGAGAGCACGAGTCTCGCGAGAGCACGAGTCTCGCGAGAGCACGAGTCTCGCGAGAGCACGAGTCTCGCGAGAGCACGAGTCTCGCGAGAGCACGAGTCTCGCGAGAGCACGAGTCTCGCGAGAGCACGAGACTAGGTCCGAGATTTGCATCGGTCTGCTGGGCCCTCCCCCCGTTGCCCTCTTCCCTTCAAAAACGTGTCACTGCTAAAGAATTCTCTAGTTACCGTAACTATACGTGACAAACGAATCTCTTCAACGAAGTACATGTTACAGTATGTCACTACATATTGTGATTCACTTTATGTTCATGGTACCAACATTTCACGGTCTGAGAAAAGTGAAGGTGTTCACGGAATTATATGTTCATGGTAGCAGGGAGAGGGGAAGGGGGGCAAAAGACAAATTATTTGTTTATATATAATAATGATAAGTTCACAATACAGAAGTGACTGTGAAAACTTTGAACATAAAAGTACTGTGCAAAATTAAAGAATTACGGCAACAGTACTGTATTTATTTTTGTTAGTAAGAGTGTAGTCCTGTGTTGTGTTTGTCTATTTCTATATAGTCATACATGTATATCTTATGAATATATTTCAGAGATATTAGGTAAAGAATCTTAGCAAAGAATTACCACATATTTACACGTACCTGTCGGATTTCTTTATGCAACGTTGGTAGAAGTAGTATTTGCGGATCTTAAGTACAGTAAAATCATGTGAATTGATGCTGCAGTAGGTAGTATATTAGCCATTTTCTGCTGTTTAAAGTCCACCTCTGACAGAAATTCAAACATAACACTGCATTTGATATTTTCACTGTACCATTTTCTGTGCAAGTCGAAGCCTACTATCATATAGCACCTCCAATAAGCCATTTGGGGGCCATTTTTAACCTTTAACTTCGAAAAAAAGAAATATTAAAAAAAAAAACGTAAAACTTGAGGATTTCTGAGATGCTAAATATACAGAGAATATTTCCATAATCAAGAAGTTATAAAATCATTGTACATAATGTATTTATGATATTCAAGCATTGTCTATTCCCTATGTATTTTGAAGTAAGGTGTATATCAACATACCCTTGATGGGGGAAATCATATGTGAAAATATTAAATATCTGTTGTTGAAAATTCTGGTATTTCTTTTTTCGTAGATTGGTGTCATATGAATAGGTTACATGTATGTCCATGGGAGTCAGTGTGACCAACATGTATGCTGCAAAAATAACACAGTGTTTTAGAATCAGAAGTGTTAGTTCCAAGCTTTTTTGCATACCATGCTCCATATGTTGTGGGTAACTATTCAATTCCTTCTCTTGATAAAGTTTGCTTCTTATCCATTGTGCCCTCCAAAGCTTCTAGTATTTTTAGTCAGCAGTGTTCTGTCATCTTATTGGATAAATACTAATCTGAAAAATGCAGCATATTCTGTTCACTACAAAATCTATACCCACACACACATTCTTACACCACATAAGAATTGTTTAATAAACCTTCATATAACCATATCAAAAACCATCTAAACAAGATATCAAATGTCACAACAGATGACAGACAGGATTAAAGTTAAAAGCTAAAAGGTGTTATTATTAAAATTTACCAAATTTTGAATGATAAACAGAACAGGTTACTACTGCCTTCTCAATATGTGAATCTGGAGACCAGCCAGTAGTGTTTGAACCATTCACACCAGAAAGGGCCCCGCTGTTTTGGATAACTATGGTTGGTTCTTAATTTTGCCTGATATGAGGGTCCCCTTTCTTTCACAAAGTATAACATTTATACGTCGATGAAGGTTAGACATCCAGGTAATACGATACGCCAAAAAGCAGTCACTCAAGCAACTGGATATGATTTTGAAAACGTCAGACGTTTCAGCTAGTATCCACTAGCTTTCGTCAGTGACTGAGAGACCAGAGGGGAAACAGGTTTATAAGCACAACCTATTGATTGATATGCAAATAAAGTGAAGACAAATTTGGAAGTCGAAAAAGGAACAAAAGTCAGACAAGTCAAGACAAGATGACATACAATGTCCAGTATCAGGGTGAAATGGCAGAAGTTGTCAGAAGTTAACATCAGCTTACGTCATATGTAACTTCGTGCTTTTTCGTATTTTGACTCTCATGTCGGCCTGCTATCGGACGCATCCGAAGTTGTCCGAAGTTATGTTATGACGTCATACTAACTTTAGACAGTCTCCCGGGAGGTGGCAGAAGTTGTCGGTAGTTGTCCGAAGTTATGACGTCATCCTAACATTAGACAGTCTCCCAGGAGGTGGCAGAAGTTGTCCGAAGTTGTCCGAAGTTATGACGTCATCCTAACTTTAGACAGTCTCCCGGGAGGTGGCAGAAGTTGTCGGAAGTTGTCTGAAGTTATGACGTCAGCCTAACTTCAGACACTCTCCCGGGAGGTGTCGGAAGTTGTCCGAAGTTGTCCGAAGTTATGACGTCATCCTAACTTTAGACACTCTCCCGGAGTATCAGGGTGAATGGTATGAAGTTAAAATCTAGTTACGTCACACGGTAAGCGAAATAACTTGGTACGTAGGGCCGTGTGAGTGTACGAAGTTAGGAGTGTCGTGTTTTCACGACAGTTCACTTTGGGCACACCATGAAAACCATGATATGGTTGGCGCTCCTGTTGAAATCAATCTTCTCGTAAAGAGTAAGCAAGCGCCGCACTAGTCCCAGATCACGAATATCTACTTGAAAATATATCCATTAACTTGTAGCATGACTTCCACGCGCGAAAGGCACGTTTGAGATGTCAATATCTGGCGTCATTTACGTTGTAATTTGAACTGGCCGGTAATTCGAATGTGATTCTATAAGTGTGTCACTTGTAATTCGAACCGTGGAGTGTGTTCTAAACGGTGTCACTTGTAATTCAAAACATTTACCTGGCGTTTTGATCATAGTCGCTACTATCGTAAACTATCCAGCATAGTAGCCAGTCTATGGATCATCAAGGACAACGTGCGCAGACGTCGTCGGGTAAACTGAACCCAACAAATCTTCAGGTTAATGATAAAGTTACGTCAGTTTTTCATTATAATTATGGTCTTGGTGGTGATCGTCCCCCACGTGATGATTGCAGACGCGTTTAGGCACCCCACCAGGAATCTAAACTTTTGATAAACGATAAACGCCTGACGACACCCAGATCACGGATTCCGAGAAAATATAAAATAATATTTAAAAAATATTAGTTCGTCTAACATGACTCCAGCAAAACCTACAACCTACAATACGTTAATAATCATTTTCAATGTTGCATTTAAATGTCAAAACTGGAACTTTTTTGCTTTCAATCTTTCCATCTTCAACTTCAGACAACTTTGGACACCTGGAGTGTAGGAAGTTACAGTGACGTCACGTAACTTCAGACAACTTCAGACACCTGCCACCCTACCCCACAAGTGTCGGAAGTTACAGTGACGTCACGTAACTTCAGACAACTTCGGACAACTTCAGACACCTGCCACCCTACCCCTCAAGTGTAGGAAGTTACAGTGACGTTACGTAACTTCAGACAACTTCAGACACCTGCCACCTACCCCACAAGTGTCGGAAGTTACAGTGACGTCACGTAACTTCAGACAACTTCAGACACCTGCCACCTACCCCACAAGTGTCGGAAGTTACAGTGACGTCAC